AGACCTGAAGTTGGGCTACCATCAAATTAGGATCGGCTCGCAACGTGCATGCAAGACTGCGTTCGAGACATGGTATTGGCATTTCGAGTGGGTGTACCATCTGAGCTCACCAATACCCCGACCACTTTCCAAGGGGCGATGACTACGGTTTTCCGCACCATATTGCACTGTTTCGTACTCATCTACGTCGATGACATGTTGGTGTACAACTAGATCTTGGACGAGCATGTCGAGCACTTAAGCTTCGTCTCGGATCGTATTCTCAATGCCAAGTATAAGGCCAATCACGACAAGTGCGAGTTCGCTCGTCAAAAGCTTGAGAACTTGGGTCACTAGGTGACGTTGCAAGAAATTCGTCCCTGAGAATGTCCCGAGCCCAAGAACACCACACAAACTCATTCTTTCATGTACTTGGACGACTCCTACCAAAGCTTTATCCACAACTACACACGGATTGTTGCACCTTTGGTGGGACTTTAGTCTAAGGTGTCATTCAAGTTCAACAACGAAGCAAGAGCTGCATTCCGGAGTCTGTACAGTGACTAAACCTTTTGAAATCCCCCCAAGCATCAATGATCATTTGAAACTGACCTGAAGTGCTGAAACTTCTGAAAGCAGTTTCAACCACACCCATCTCTAATACTTGGATGGAGGCAAATGAAACCACTTTCAAAAGGTTCAGCCGCTTCAGGTCATTTCAACAGTTTCAGGGAAAGTCTGACACCGTTGAAATGACATGAAGTAACTGAAGCATCTGAATCGCTTTTAGGTCCTTCCATCCCAGTCTACAACACTCGAGTGAAGCCACGACGATAACTTGAAGTGTTTGAAGCTTCTGAAATTGTTTCAGGTCCCTCCATAAAAACCTACAACACCCGTCTGAGACCGCCGCAATGACCTGAAGTGTATGAAGCTTTTGAAACCTGTTTTAGGTCCCTCGATCAACGCACCAAGGATCAGTTTGAAAATGTCGTATTGACATGAAACCATGCGGGTATATAAGGGGACCTGGAAAAAAATCTGCGTACGTTACCCATCTCTCATGAGAGATGAAAAGTTCAGACTTGGTGACTATTCAAGCTATTTGCCCAGACCCAGATATTGTATTATGGATCAACAACGTTGGGGGACCATTGAGGAAATTATTATTTTGCAGGGCTGGAGATGTAGTCTCCCCCTTCTTCTCCACTCTTCGGCGCTTCCTCCATCTCCCTTCGTCTGCAGTTGTGCCGGGTCACGGCAACTATCTTCTATGTTTCACCCACCAGATCCACCCCCGTGTAGGAATGATAATGGATGTATGCATTCCATCCTAAGTCCGACGAGTCATATCGGCATATGAGTCATATCTGCATATGTCAGTCTTTCTGCCACATTGCTCTTGTAACTGTTCTTCAGAGTGATCCTTGGTTTCTACGCCATGCCTATCAGCTACTTATAGGCATGCGGCAACCTCCCTCCCTGCATCCCTCCCACCTTACTCCTTGCCTCCTAGCCTCTCCCCCTGCCTCCCAGCCTCGCTCCCTGGCTCCATACCTACCTCCCTGCCCCCCTTCGGTCTTTCGCTGAATCACTACTGTTGTTCTTCGTGGTGATCCTCGGTTCCTACGCCATGCCTATCTGCTACTTGTAAGCATGCAACAGTCACCCTACCCGCGTCCCTCCTGCCTCCCTGCCTCCCTGCCTCCCTGCCTCCCTGCCTCCCAGCCTCACTCCCTGCCTCCCTACCTGCCTCGCTGCCTACCTGCCTACCTGCCTACCTGCCTACCTGCCTACCATCCTGCCCACCTACCTGCCTGCCTACCAATCCATCTATCTGATCTCTCTACCATGGCTCTCTATCCCTATGTTGGACGATTGGCACAACATCTTCAACACAAAAAAAAAGCCGTTCGTGCATTCCCAAGTGCTTTTTTTGTCAAACAGTGACTCTACATGATGTACAACAATGACTGGGGTAACTCGGTTAAAGACTGATCCTGGTTCAACCCGTTCGACTGGGGTAAAACTCAATTCAAGTCACAGTTATCAAACCGGGAAGGAAAGCTGCTAAACCCTAAACCTGAGGAGACCCGACTGCTTCATCCCCACCTATCCCATAACTCCTAAAGTCAATCGTATGGTCACTAAGGCATTGTGAGCCATGCATTTCCTATGTTTGGAAGCTGCTTCCACATGTCTTTGCAAAACACCCTTTTCACCTTTCAGCATGCCACGTCATGCTGAACAATTCTGTGACATTTACACACACACACACACACACACACACACACACACACACACGCGCGCGCTCACACACGCACAAACACTACGCTGGAGCAAAACCTCTCCCTCCCTTGCATCATCACACAGTGGAAGTGCTGATACCATGTCTTATCCAAAGAAGAAAGATAACGAGGATTTTTGGCATGATTGCTGCCTCTGAAAGAGACAGGCAGAGGAGAACCCTCAAGGGCTTATCCCATCAACCACCCATGGCAGTAATGACGAAAGGTCCTCGCCGCGACCTACGGGAATGAAGAAGAAAATCACTGAGAAGAAGAGATCACACCATAACAAAGACAAAAACAGAAGAGGCGGCGGCCTGGCAGACGCTCCATTCACCGTTGCAAGGCAATAAATCTACAAAAAGGTAATGAACAACAAGCATAGTTGGAAATCTGACTACATACAAATGTCTCACAGAACACAAGTCACTTGTCGTTGGCGACATAGCAATCAACAAGAGATCCTTCATAGCCTTGCTCCCCTTCCTTTCCTTTCCTTTCTCTTTTTAAAACACATCACCTGAACAATGCATCCACCACTTCAAACACAGACCCATAAACATTCCACAAGTAAACAACAGAAAATATTGTACACCCCTCCTCCCCTTGTATGTGCTCGCCATTCTCTCTCCAGTAGTATGGATTCCGTACGTCTGGGCCTAAGCCCTCCTCCGTGCAAGCACAGATTCGAACCGGCGACCTCAGCCTCAAGTGCCAAGTCTCTTAACCACCACTACAGCCAGGACACGGCGTTCAGGACGTCGAACGACACCAGTCATGATATCCGCCCCACCCCGGAAAGGCTGTCGTGTCCAACTCAACACAGACCACACACAACACCCACGGACACGGACACGGCAATTCTCGTACACTCCAGGTCTTGTCAAAACTTCAATGCATAAAATCACCACGAATGGAGTGAAGTAGATGGAAAGACCTCTGCATCCCCTTTAAGTGTGCAATAACATCAGTGATTGTCGATGAGCATACTTCGGACGGCTCAATGACCCAATACAATTCAAACGTACATAAACACAACAGGTGGCCTGGTGCTTTCATCTGGTGCCATTGAGCCAAGAAAATGAGTTTTTTTTTTCCCCCATTGTGGGTAAATAGTAAATACAGAACGGTCACATCTCCTTGAAAAAGCAGCCCCTGCATTACCTGAAAGACTTAACTTCCAAAAGCCAACCCGATAGCAGATAAACGGCACACCCATGATCTCAATTCAAGGCTTCAAGCGATGCCCCGATCGCAGTCTAAGGGCACACCCACGATCTCAATTCAAGGCTTCAAGCGATGTATATGACCAACATTATAAGGCCAGATTTTGTGAGAAAGTGGGAATGTGAGTATGCCCTCTCACCTCCCTCCCTCCACGCAAAAGATAGAGACTCCCATCATCACCTCTCCCACTCCTCAAGCTTCACGACTTCTGTCAAAATCTCTGAAACTGCAGTCAACACGCAGCCACACTCCAAGATTGTTGTTGCCTTCCCTCATCTGATGGGAGCAGTCGAAAGAGCCTGCCTGCACTAAGTGGTAAATGTTAAAAAAAAAAAAAAAAAAAAAAAAGGGCTACCGTAGGCGGCGCTGCGCTTTGCGTGGGCCTTTATGGAAAAATTGAAAGATCCAGATTATCTACCACAAGCCCCGCGGTCGATATGTTTAAAAACAGAAACCGACTCAAAGCTATCACCAGCACAATACCACAAGTCCCGCTCTCAATATGTTTAAAAACTGAAATCGACTCACCGCTGGCACCAACGCAGTGAAAAAATGGACATGGACTCCTCAGAGAGAGGAACTTCCTCGCCAAACAGTACCTGTAAGTTCTGTAACTGGGACTCGCTCAGGGCATACTCGCACTCGGGTCTTTTTGGCTCAGCTTTGGCCGTAATTGTGGTCAGATGCGTCCATGGTGGGCTGTAAATGTGGCCAGATACTACATCCAGGAAAGCGCTAGTGTAAGTATGCAGCTGCTATGTGCTCAGAGAGAGCAACACCCCATGTTCCTTTTTCTTTCACTCATGTTCCGTTCCCCTTTAAATGCTCGCTACATGCCACAATAGCCTTCCTTGAGTGATAGTTTGGTCCTATCTTTAATGAACTATACTTTCAATGAACTAGACGAGAATTCTACATTCTGCAAGACAACAACTTTTCCAAGGAGAAAGACGAGAACTACGGGTACTTTTTTGGGTGAATGGCATATAACTGCCATACCCACCATAGCCACCATAGCCACTGTAGCCACCATAGCCACTGTAGCCACCATAGCCACCACAGCCACCACCATTGATCTTCACCCATATTGCTTAGAGCCTGAAGACAAGCCGATCCATCCTTTCCCTTTCAAATGGTCGCTACATGTCCCCATAGCCCTTAGAGTCCAACGACAAGCCGATCCATCCTTTTCCCTTTCAAATGGTCGCTACATGTCCACATAGCCTTTCTTCAGTGATGTTTTGGTCCTATCGTTTTCGATGACAAGACTTTCGACACTTTTGAGTCTATTAGACTAGATGTCTACGTTCTGCAGGACAACAACGTTTCGACGCACGTAAATGAGAACTATACTATGGGTACATTGTTGTGGTCGACCGCATACAACCACCATAGCCACCATAATGGCACCATAGCCGCCACCATTATCTTTCACCTAACTTCCTTAAAATCCTGACAGTTGGCCAGTCCCTCCGCACTATACAACATTCCTCACCATCCCGAACTCCTATGAATCTTTATTCATTGAATTCCTTCATTCACTACCAAACTTGCTAAGTGACTATTCTCATCTTCCACTCTCAGAGAAGGAGAGAAATGCTATCCCTTATAGCACTGGCCTCATCCATTCCACACTTAATAGGAAGTCCTCTGCAGAGGAGAAATCCATCAAAAGCCAGTTCAGCAGAAGTCGCAGGGGGTTGCTGTTTCTGCACATGCAAGACATCCGTCATCGAGCGTTTGACCGGCCATCGCGTGTCCTGAGAAGGAGCAGGTATCTGTCCTTCAACATTGCTTCTTGCGGAAGCACCAAGCGTTTGGAGTGCTTGCACCTGCTGATTTTGCTCATCTCTAATTGCTGCTGCTGGGTGCTCCGGAACCTCACTTCTCCGCTGACCTCCTCTCTCCATGCACTCCTCGCCTGCTGTCGAAACGCCATGGTCACGTTCACCCGTTCGCTGTCTTTTCACCGGACTTCCGTCATCTCGATGCGCCTGACCTTCCGCCACGATGGGTTCTACTGCTTCTAACTGCTCCCTGCATGGATCTTGCTCCTCCTTGCCCTCCTCCTCCCCCTCCTCCTCCCCCTCCCCCATTGGCTCTTCTGCGCCCTCCTCTCCCACCCCTTGAAAGCCTGCGTCCAAGGATGCTTCCTCGCCTGCCAGATTGGGAAAGGTCCAATCCAGAGACTTAACAACACCGGTTTCGCTCCAAACTGACGGTAGCGATCCGATCGCACAAGGTGCCCACTCTCCTTTCGATAACTTCCAAATGCCTCCCTCGTCCTCATCGTGGCTGTTCGGGTCTTGGAAGATTTCTTCGATTTGACTTTCCAGCCCTCGGTTCCTACCACAGCTGCACTCTTCCAACAGCTTACTCAACCGTTGCTGTGCCTCGGTAAGGCCTGAACCTGCCACCCAACCAAAGATTGAGTGAACGCTTCAAATTTCAGAACTGTCCCCAGTAAGAAAACATTGACCACTTCAAATTGCAAAAGAGTCCCCGCTACAGATTTAACACTTCACAACTGTCTGCGCTATAGACGACAGGTAAGAAGCTGTTTAGTGTATAGATTTACAACAATCATGGGTTTTTTTTTTTTTTTTTTTTTTTTTTTGGACCATTTCTCAATTTATGTGTGTCATCCTTGCGCAGGGGCCATGCTAATCTCCAATTTTAACGGATGTCAAACAAGTGTTTTCTGAACTGAATTTGAATTTACTGTCATGTACTGCCAAGCCTTCGCTATTCATCTTTCTCGCTTGCTGCGGTTTGATCTACGAGTTCATGGATGCAGAAGACGCTCTTGTACTCCCTCCACTACCTAAAAGAGGGAGCAAATTCACAAAACATTCACTACCCCTACCTGAAAGAGAGAGAATGCCACATCGTGAAGTGGTTTCTTCATTCAAACCACCAGTACGTCGCCCAGCTAATTTTGTCTGACGCCTGTTAACACGTCACAAGTTCCGTGCCTCGGCTTATGCCAGCCAAAAAGAGGCCCGCGGCAATTCGTCGTTTTTTGCCGTGCAGCAGTGTTGCATACCCCGACGGTCGGCGTCCTTGACTGGTCGCCTGCCGACCGATCGGCTGGTCGGCACCTACCGGTCGGGGGTCGTCGGCACCCCGCACAGAAAAAAAAAAAGAAGAAAAAAAAAATGTTGGGTCCAGAAACCTCCGATAACCCCAACAACACCCCCATACCCGCCCCCAATACCCCCATACAACCCCCCAACACCCCCAAACCGCCCCCCAACACCCTCATACCCTTCCCCAATACCCCCTATACGCTCCTATACCCCCCTATACCCCCCTTCCCAAACCCCCCCAACTCGGAGTACAGCCCCCAACTCAGATTTGGGAAAAACATGGCTGTTTTCTGACTGGTTGGCAAACCGCCGACCGGTCAGCCCTACCGGTCGGCTGCTAAACGGTCGACGCCGGGGGCTCAGAGGTACTGGTGGTTCAAAGGACTGTTTCCAACAAAGCATGGACTCTACAACGCCCCACACTCAGTGCACATTGACTCACTTCCTGTCAGTTTGTCGTAACATACCTCTGAACCACCAGTACCTCTGAGCCTCTTTTACCCGAGGCTGGAAATGCCCTGCACGCCAGGGTTGCATACCTGCCAACCGGTGGTTACCAGGCTGTTCGACCCGCCAACTTCACAGTAAAGACGGCATTTTGGACTGCCCTGGACTTGACCGACAGAGAAATGTGCACAAATCAATCTGTGAAGCCGCAGAGTGGGATATATCGACAGTACCCCACTTTGCACACATAGTTGTGGATGAGCACACAGCTAATTAACATCCGTCCCCACTCTCGTGTAGTTGTGTGGGCCATCGTAGCACATTTACGAACGATAGAGGCCATTGTAACGTTGTTGCAGACCATATTGTGATATTTTACCTATGGCGGCATGGCCCCAGTATAAGAGTATTACAATATGAATGGTTGGATCTGTGATCTGACAGATTACGCACAGGTCACGATAGCGCCATTCAGCGTGCTGCGACCACCCCCGTGGCTGATAAGAATCAGGACGTACTCACAGGGACTTTTTGGACTCAGCTCTGGCCGTAATTGGCAGCTAATTGTCGTGACATACGTCCGTGGCGACTCGTAACGGCTGACAGATACGTCCGAGAAAGTGCTAGTATCCCACAAATGGTTAACAGGTACCCTCACTTTTCACCCCTAGGGTAACCTTCACCACCATCATTACTCTTACATATGTAGAGAGCGGAGCTACAAGACCAAATTTCCTGACTTTGGCCCGGCACAAACGATGTCTTTTCGGCAGAGCCAAGGGTCGTCTGCAAATACACATCCACCTTTCCCCCTTTCCGCGTATACTACGACCAGTCCATACGCGGAAAGGGAAAGGTGGATGTGTACTGCAAATTTCCTGTACGGCAAAGTGACAACGACGTATTGATGCTACAATACGCCAGTCCATACCGTGTGGCTGCACTATCGTACAAACAAATCGAAAAAAAATGACAAAAGGCGTATTAAACATCATTATACAAGCAGGGTTGCTGACAGCAAGGTTCAATTTTTTAACGGGTCAACGAGACGGTCGAGACCACATGTTCTTTTCCCTCTCTTTTTTTTTTGAATTTTGAACCACAACTTCCACAAGAAATGGCAACCTTGCAGTCAGCAACCCTGCTTGTATAATGAATTTTTAATCATTTTTATCATTTTTAATATTTTTTTATCAATAAGAAATCTTTCTGCAGCCAGGCATGCGAAAATAGACAGCTAAATAGAGGAGAGGAAGGGTCAGGACTCAGGGGACATCTCMCCCCCCATTTCCCCCGGCGAAAAAAAAAAAAAAAGAAAAAGAGGGGGAGAAAGGGATAAGGAAAAAAGAGCCCATCTCCCCCCCCCAAAAAAAAGGTCAGAAGAAAAACAAAAAGAGAGGAGATTTTCAAAATTTTGAAATTTTCTTAATTCCTTTTCCTCTCTTCTCCCTTTTCAGTTCGTGAACTTTTCACACGGATCGAGGTCTTTTAGACCTTACTGGTATAATGAGGACTTGAACTCCCGTCTCCCGACACTTGTGAATGGACATGTCACAGTGCGCACAGGGTTGAATTTCTGGTTTTCAAACTTTTCGTACTTTTTTTGAATTCGTGTTCGGGTGAAGGGGGAGGGGGGACGAGAGTGGAAGGGTGGAAGGGTGGGTGGTGCAATAGCACAGCAGGAGAAGAGAAAAGAGTGCGTTTTTTTTTTTTTTTGTGTGTGTGTGTGTTCAATTTCTTTCTACGAGTTTGGTTAACGTCAGTCACAATTGGACAAGAGACAAGAGTGAGAGCTTTCGGACAATTATGCCCCCCCCCCCCCCCC